TGCACCCAACGTTCTATGTCGGGCGCCTTAAGGCTTACCTACCGGCGGATCTCCCTTCGAACCTTCCCCGCTCTTCTGTGACGGCTCACAATCTGACATCCCTTGACGACGACGCTGACGACGACTGGGACCAAGTTCTGCCCGAACGCGTGCAGATTCAATCTGCTAGGTTCCTCCGAACGAAGTCATCTCAAGTTGCCGAAGGGTCGCGACTAGTGTCTGCTGTTCCCGTCGAGTCCGTTCATCATCTACAGTTTTTTTGTTGTTGCAGCAGCCGCACGATCGCGATCCTCCTCATCCATCTCGCAAGAACGACGTAGGGCGTTCTTCGAATCTTCCCCTTCAGCGTAAAGAAGGCGCAGCTCGTCGTTCGAAGGCCACTGCGCTTGGTTATGTGAATCGGCACTCATCACCCGAGATTATCTGCCGTAGTGTTTCTCCTCGGACGCGCGTCACTAGCTAAACAACCGTAGCGTCGATCACGAGGGTGGTAAGTTATATGTGCCGAGCAGCGACTCTGTGGCGAAGCGATTAAGTGAATTTGGCAAAGTGTGATCGCATATTTTCGGTTAAGTCCGAAATGGCCAATATTGATGAATCGCGATCTCGCAGAAAAGTTTCGGAAGATGGAAAATGGGATGGAAAACAGTGAATGGTGGAGTTCGCAGTTCTATGTGGAGTTAACTATGGCCTAGAAACTACGCAATTGCGATCTCCGGTATTTTTCGATGGTGATCCGCGTGAACGCGATCGCTAAGAAGGAGGATTGGTACAACCAAGTATGTGGAAGATGGTCTAATGTGGATCACGTCGCTATGGAAGACTGGAATGACATGTTATATAGATGTACCATCTCACATGACCCGAGGAACGGTGAAGAGGACAAGTCGTGATCCAGCGGACCGCGATCCGATACTAATTATTAGTACCGCGATCCGATACTAATTATGTACCGCGATTCGATATTAATAATTAGTACCGCGATCCGATACTAAAAAGGTATTAGATCCAAGCGAGGTAGCGATCCAGATCGCGGCGATATTGGAGTGGACCATATAACAAGATCTAATTTTTCCGAAAGGGTGATACGTGGCAATAGATCCTGAGCTACAGATAGTCAAGACAATAGGTTTGGGTATTTGATTGGTTAGCATTAACAGAGTTCAATTTGCTTCTAAGTACACGTGTCGACTTCTCTATTCCGGGCAGGATATTTGGCCTCCCGACGCCGAGAATATCGACTACAAGTGCACCCTGAATTGTTTGGACAGGTAGGAATTCTCAACACAACAACTCAATTGCGGTCGGACGCAGAAACAACAAGTAAGGGCAAGGCAAGCAAGTGCAGGACGGATCAAGTGGTCAGAAGGTTCTGCTCAAGTGGTCAGAAGATTCAAGCTTCGCCTTCTTGGACTATTGGGATCTATTGGTACGATCAACAGACAAATACTCGGTCGATCTTGTGAAGATTTCCACAAGATCACCAAAAATCCCTATCCCTAACCCAATTAGGATCAACATCGACTCAAGTTCACCGAGAAGAGAGCAACTCGCTCTACCGTCGGGTACACAAGGTGAGGAAGGCTATATACACGGAATCGGGGCACCCCCTCCGTTAGTCTGTCGTCCGGGCGCCAGTGGAGAGTTGGAGTCGCATCAGCAATTTTCGAACCCACTCCACCACAACTCGGTGTCCACGAAGAACCATGTTAGAAAACATTATAGGTTTCGCTGGCTAGAAGCCTTGAACTATGTTGGCTCATGATATTCCCGACGTGGTCGCAGATTATAAATCCAAGAAGAAGACGGCGATCGCGACCAAATTTGTCGCTCTCATCCACGATCTCGCCAGCCGTGGCACTCATGAGCAGCTGATACACGACGCCGATCAGCAGAGGTTCGAATAACATGGATGGTATGGTAGTCAATTTTGACTGCGTGAAAGACCATAGCGAATTAAGCTTGGGAATCAAACTCTTGAACTCCTGATCGAAAAAACACTGCGCCACTTGAACGAGTGAAGAGCTTTTTCAAACCGTCCGGTAATTCTGGTTGATCAGCGCCGGTAAGGCTGTATGACGCCCACCGTTTTAGGTTCTTTTCCATCACTCGCGGTGCCTGATTCTTACAGATCGTCGCCTGACGGTTGTTGTGGTCAAAGAAACCTTTGCGCACGCAGCTAGGGACCATGCTGCTCGCTGTGTAGGCTCGAGATTGTGTCGTTGGAATTTTTGGTGATAACAAACACTTTATGATATGATCTTACGCTGTAGTAAGCACAGCTTGAAGAAGGGGGTGATGCAATGGAGAAACCTATTACATAAGTAGTTATAGGAATATTACATAATTACATAAGTAGGCATAGGGCAGTATCCGATTTGTCATTTTATTATTGGCCTATTATTGGAGTCCCAGAACACTTTCGCACCTAGTGCGAAGTAAAACCAAACAGTTATATCTCCGAGTTATTTAAGAGCGCTTCCTCAACACCCTTCTTGGAGTAAGACGGTATCGGGCCTACAGCTTATGCTCGGTATTGCTTCAGTACCTGCACTCTGCACCACTACGTATGGTGCCGAGGAAGTAGGTGGAGGTACCATCATTCCGCTCCGCGAGCCATCACAAGCACACCATGATTCTGCCGCTTGCGCTCCGTGCTGCTGCACCAGCATGACCTGACGTAAGGGTGTGGACGGAGGTTGGCACCGCCGTTTCTATGCGGTCCCGTCCCTCGGTGTTGCTAGATAGTTTCTGCTGTCGCTGTGACGATTGCCACTGCTGTCGCTGTGACGATTGCCACTGCTGTCGCTGTGACGATTGCCACTGCTGTCGCTGTGACGATTGCCACTGCTGTCGCTGTGACGATTGCCACTGCTGCCGCCGATTGACAGCTCATCCAGTTTCATCCGGCTAAGCATTTTCACTCCCGCGGCCTCCGTGTGCAATCCAGTAACTGGGCTCAGGTCTTGATGGCAGTTCAATTGGCTCTAACATTTGTCCTCCTTCGCCGGCGGAAGGACCTGCGAGTACACCTGTCCATGCTGCCAGCGCTTGGTCTATGTTGGGCAGTTGTCAACTAAGGGTACTGTATGAGCAGATACCGTGCGTACGAACTTCCGTTGCCTAGACGCCCGCAATTCTTTAATGCGTTTCTCCGCCACTACACTTGTCTTTGGTATGGTGGGCGTTAAACATGTGCGACATGAAGCTGTTGCCATTCTTTAAAGTAATGTAGAGGAATACTTCTTTTTCATTTTTGAGCGAAGTGCCATTAACCAACATATTCGGGCATTCCAGCGTGTGGAAAATGACCGTTCAGTAGTCATTGTCATGCTTCTTTAATCTTTGTACCCCATGATGTCGTATATCCAGAATATATTCGCCAGCAGTTTCGCAAAACACGGTACGGAGGAGTATCGGACCAAGCCTTTTGTTTTTAGGATTCGTACGGCGTATGCCTGGCCACTTGAAGAGAGAACCGGGTATTTGGAATGGTGTTCTCTGCCCTTTGCAACTTGAAAACAGCTCCTCAGCTTGAACTTCTTGTTCGCACAGTCATTCGCCGCTTTCGTAGACATAAAGATGAAGGTAAGCGTGTGCTGCCCGTCAAACACCACACGTTTCGCTGCTCGCATAAACTGCTTCGTCACCTCCTTGGTAGCATCAGTGCGTGCATTAGCGCCGACTAGCTCGCGGACTAGTGACCTTCTAGAAATGGATTTACCCAGTCTTACCGATGCTGGGACATCAGCATCAGCACCCCTTCCACGTTGTGATATATATATGCCATCATTGCTGCCGACTGTAGTTCTGATGTGGTATATACGAGGAGCATAAGAGAGCCAGGAAGTTCCAACTTTTTCGCTACATATAGGCTGTAAGTGCCTCGCATTCCTCCACCGACATCTGTCTCTAAGCCGCGTCCTCGTGCAGCGGATAATCTCTAGTCACTATCTGGTACAGCCGCTTCATCATCATCGCCTCTGTTGCTGCTGCCTCTTCATCCTGTTCCACGCGCACTTCCACACGTCAAGCTGTTTTATCAGGTGTCCGTGTCGTAGGAAGAGCCACACCTGCGTAGAGTTTGGGGTGGACTCCATAACGTCTTCCGTTTTCCTTTCTTCTGCCTCTTCGAGTCGGTTTGCCACCTGCTCTGGAGGACTCGGAGTCGCTAAAGCTGACATGGGGAGGGGACCGCCCGGCGAGTCGGGTGGCCGGGCGGGGGGGGGGGGCGCGCGTAGGGCCCAAAAGAAGCCGTCGCCGCCACTCATTCGCACTTCTAAAGTTTAAACTCTTGGGTCAAAGGAGCCGATTTCAACTCGCTGGGTTCGTGCCGCAGCAAATTGAAAAGTAACATGAACGTCGACGCGAAGAGCCACGTGGCTGAAGACGATAGTGAGCTATGGCTCCTCATGTTTCGTACAGTACCATAAACAAGATGATCAAGGATGGAAAGATCAGCGGCGGCGGAAATGAAAACGGACGTGTTGTGCAACGTATGCGCGACAGCCAAACAAGTGCGGCAATCGTTTAAGACAAGTAGACGCAAGAAAGAGTGCACGCACCGACGGTGTAGTATGCTTTGACGTTCTAGAACCAGTTACATTAGCGTCGGAGTCAGGTTTCAATTACATTGTCAGCTTTATAATGATGAATAGCCGGTATGTGACGATTAATCCGTTGCAAAAGAAGAGCGATGTTCCAGTGTGTTTGCAAAATTCTATCTGGAGATGGATGAGACAGTGACTAGGACGACAATCAAGGTCTTTTAAAGCGACAATGGTAGAAAGAACCGGATCGCAGCCATTTTCGGTCCCACGTGGTACCACGCTGTTCAATTGTGGTTTCATTGTGGTTCTTTTTATTATCGACGTCCTCTTTCTACGTGCACAAGGGGGCTTCTGACCAAACGGTTTACCCCCAACACCCTGTACTTGGAACAATGCACGAAGAAACAAAAAGAATACGCGAATCAAAAACAAATTTCTCTTAGGACTTTATTAGTCTACTTGCTTGCGACGCGCATCGTACTCGGCCTGAATCTCTTCAGCTGACTTGCCCGACGTCTCCGGCACCAGCTTCAGAGCCAACAGGTAAAAGATTGCCAGCAGTACCACGAATGGAACGTACGCATAGTCTCCCAGTGCATCCGAAACGTACGGATACGAGACGCCCACGATAAGGTTGCACAGCCAGTTGATACCGATGCAAAACGACGACGCGCTAGCGCGGATCGAATCCGGGAAAATGCCGGCCGTCATCACCCACACGAGTGGGCCCAGCGTTACGCCAAACACGATCACGTACAAGGCCGTAAACACAACCGACAGAGCCGATACGTCCACGACAAACGCCACCGTCATACCGATAGACATGACCACCATGCCCGACAGACCCCACAGGATCATGTTGCGAGCGCCGAAACGGTTGGCCAGCACACCCGTGAAGAACGCGGGCCAAATGTTAATAAAGTCGATGATCAGTGTGCCCACGCGCGAGTCCGAGATACCTGTAACGATAGCTCAACTACTTCACTGTGCTGCCAAATGAAAAGTAGTATTAAGAGTTAAACTACTACTAAAGTAAATGTATAAACCCTTCATAAACTGATCACACAATCCAGATCATTCGAAGAACACTGTCCATGCAAGTTGTCCTTTTCACGACACACACATCACTGACGTAATTCGTGATCCTCTACACTCCCCTTCAACTTGCACTCTCGCGAATTCCATTCATCGCGTAGTCGCATCAATTGTGGAGCACCAAGCGGCTTCGTCAGGTAATTAGCAAGTTGCATAGCTGACGGAACATGTTTGAGCTGGATATCACCTTGCTCAATGTGGTCTCGAACAAAATGCATCCTAAGGTCAATGTGCTTAGCTCTTGGAGTATATCCCTGATTCGTCGCAATACTTATAGCCGACTTGTTGTCCATGTGCACTGTAGTCGCAGTCTTACATGTGACACCCATCTCTTTCAGCAAATAACGAATCCACATAACTTCTTGCGTAGCTAGTGCCAGTGCCATATATTCCGCTTCAGCAGAGGATAAAGCCACCGAACTTTGGCGTTTGCTTTTGTATACCACAGCTGCACCTCCGAGTAAAATCAACACTCCAGACGTAGATCGACGAGTTTTCTTATCATTTCCCCAATTCGCGTCACAGTATGCCCAAAGCATCATCTTTTTGTCGTCCGATTTGTTATACTTAATTCCGTGCGATTTTGTTCCCATGAGATAGTGTAAAACACGTAAAGCCGCTCGCCAGTGCATCTGTCGTGGCTGGTCCAAGTACTGCGATAATACTGACATCGCGTAGCTTATGTCCGGTCGCGTTGCATTCGCAATATACAGCAGCGAGCCGACCAATTTGCGATACGAAGTAATGTCTTTAACCACTGGGTGTGATTCATCCGGAGTTAGGTCCTGTCCTGCACAGATAGGGTTGCGAACTGCATAAGCTTCATTTTGCTTAAACTTCGAGACCACCTTCATAATAAATTGGGACTGTTTCAACACCAACTCCCCCTTTTCTTGTGAGTAGTTAACTTCCATGCCCAAAATAAACCGCGCAGCTCCAAGTGACTTGACAGTAAAATGTTCAGACAATTCCTTATAAATCGTGTCCGCCTCTGCATCTGACTTGCATCCAATAAGGAGGTCGTCCACATACAAGACTATGTATGTGGGTGACTTATTTTTTGCATTATTGCGTCGAACAAAAAGACATGTGTCTGCTCGACATTGTTCGAAGCCCATGGCCGAAAACACAGAACATATTTTCTTGTGCCAAACCGCAGCCGCTTGTTTTAATCCATATAAGCTGCGTCGTAATTTGCACACCATTCCAGGTGCAATTTCAATTCCATATGGTGCCTCCATGTAAACGTCTTCTTCCAAATCACCATTCAAAAACGCCGTTTCCACGTCAAATTGTCGAATTACATATTGCATACTGCAACAAACAGACAAAAATACACGAATCGTGTTTGAGCATGCTTCAGGTGAATATGTGTCGAAGTAATTAAAACCATGCGTTTGCAGATATCCGAGGGCGACCAAGCGTGCTTTGTAACGAACAATTTGACCGTTTTCATCGTACTTGTAACCAAATACCCACTTGTGACCAATGACCTTGACACCTGGAGGACGATTGACAGCATCCCATGTGTGGTTCTTAAGATGAGCATTAATTTCTGCTTGAATTGCTGCCTTCCATTTTTCTGCGTCCATCGACTGTAACGCCTCTCGTAAATTCATTGGTACATCAGTAGCAGAAAGCGATATTTCTTAATCGTCAACACATTGACGTTTAGGGTCCGGCTCATCATTTTCGCCATCGACAGGTGATCCATCAGTTAAAAGCGGTAGATCAATCCTCTCATCGTCAAAATCATCATTCGTGAGTAGACGAGATGACGTGAATGTACTATAAGGTCTTTTGTTCGACCCTGAGTATATCTCCATTCGATCATCTGGGGCACGGGAATTCTCACAAACTATAATAGCTCGCGACTGATCAGGTATTCTTGAGAGCATGTGTGTACCATAATTGCTACTTCCAGCGACCGATCCGTGTGAAGTACGACGTATCATCGAATTGTTTGTGTCAATGACTTGTATGTCTGTGCGCTCCCCCTCAATCGGAACAACATCTAAGTTTTGTGACTGATTGAGATCTCCAGACGCATCCACAACCATGTCTTCCCAACTAGTATCATTGTCAGCAGTTTCATCAACGTCCATTTCGTCATCCTCGTTATTCTTGTTCAAATCAGGTACTTCCACCTTTACTTCGTCTAAATCATCATGATAATGATTGCATTGAGCTAAAGGTTCACCTAAAACAACAACATCTTTGTACCGCGAAGGAGGGCTCTCGTTTAGCGTAACGGACCTAGTCGTAACCAATTGTCTTCTCGCAATATCCCACACTCGGTACGCCTTTGAATTTTCCAAATACCCGAGAAAAATACACTTGTTTGCCTTGCTGTCCCATTTAGTGCGCTTGCAATCCGCGACTCGTAGATAACCAGTCGAACCAAAGACACGGAAATGACTTAAGTCTGGTTTCGACCCATACAGAGTTTCAAATGGACTAACGTTGGGTCGCGCAGTATTAGGAATTCGATTGATGGTGTAAGCAGCCGCCATAATCGCCTCACCCCACCAAGAACGATCAACTCCCATGTGATATATCATTGATCGGGCCATCTCAACAAGAGTTCGATTCATCCTTTCTGCTAAGCCGTTTTGTTGAGGATTGTACGACACGCTCCTCTGGTGGATAATCCCTAGATCTGCACAGTACTTGTTAAAGCGATGATTTGTATACTCTCCACCATTGTCACTACGGATGCATTTAATCTTGCAATCCGTTTGCTTCTCCACCATAGCACGAAACGCCTTAAATCGCTCAAAAACTTGGGACTTTGCTGCTAGCAAATATACGTAGACAAATCGACTGTAGTCGTCGATAAATGTGAGTACATATAGAGCCCCACCTTTCGACTTCGGGTTCATAGGTCCCATAAGATCGGTGTGTACAAACTCAAGTGGTCGACTTGTTTTAACTTCACTTCCTGAAGTATGACTGAACGGGCTGTTTGTCATTTTTCCGCGTGCACATCCATCACATACACCGCCATCAGATGCGACAACTCTCGAAATACCATCGCAAGACTTCATCGCTTGCATAATCTTTTTCGTAGACACATGACCGAGGCGAGCATGCCACAGTCCACTAGTGTCATTTATCGCACCACTGCTCTCAGCCTTGTGTGCCTCTAACGTGATATGTTGTATTACATTCCACGCAAACAGCTTTCCCACTCGTTTAATTACTGCTACAGTCACGTCGTCACTTATCAAAACTGCTTGATCACGCTTGAACTGAACAAGCACGCCTCGGGCCGTCAACGCTGCTACAGACACAAGTTTCTTGTCTAGCCCAGGCACATACAACACCTCCGTAAGTTTGACTGTACGACCATTTTCGAGTATAAATCGAGCTTTGCCTGTTCCTTGCGCCTTCAACTGATGTCCATTTGCCACAGTGATGTAAATTGGGGTACTTAAATCTTCGTATTCCACAAATTCACGCTTGTCATCTGTCATATGACGACTTGCCCCACTATCCAGCAACCAAGTTGAATTCGAAATTGGTTCTTCACTGAATGCCGAAAAAACGAATTCATCACCAGGTCTCGATGGTTTCACGTTACGACACTGCGATCTCTTGTGTCCATGCCGGCCACACGCAAAGCATTTGCCTTGAAAACTCGCATAAGCTTTTCCTTTCCTCGAAGTTTGGTAGCGATCTCGATTTTCTTCTTGACCACGGTGTCCTCGGTTACTTTGAAAGCGTCGAGGTTCATTACGTTGAGCGTGTGCCTTAAAAGCGGTTTCCTTCTTGTCTCGCTTCTGAAGAGTGTCATACTCCCGGCGGAGCATCTCTTTTGCGTCTAACAGCGTCACGTTGCTGTGCGCCTCAATGATGCGCACCATATCATCATATTCGGATGATAAACTTCCCAAAAGCAAAACTAGCTTTTCATCATCATCCATGCTGTCACCGGCAGCTCCTAGCTTGAGACACAGCTCATCAAATTTTAGTAGATGGTCCATAAGACTCGCACCAGTCTCCATCACAAATTCATGTAATTCTTTCCGAAGTTGCACTCGGTTGTGAAGATTTTTCTTCGCAAAGAACGTCTTCAGAACCTCCCAAGCTTCAAACGCAGACTCACATTCCCGAACCATGCACTGATAGGTTGGAGAGAGTAGCTTCACCAGTACAGCCAGAACCTTCATATTGGCGACTTTCCATCCGGGATTCTCCCGCAGCACTGCCGGCTCTGGCTTAATCAAAACGTGATCCAAAAGATCCTTGCGCGCGAGTGTCATGCGTGCATTAAATTCCCACATGAAGTAATTGTCATCCGTGAGGATGTCATTAGTAGCCAACGTATTTGGGCTCATAACCTGTAACGATAGCTCAACTACTTCACTGTGCTGCCAAATGAAAAGTAGTATTAAGAGTTAAACTACTACTAAAGTAAATGTATAAACCCTTCATAAACTGATCACACAATCCAGATCATTCGAAGAACACTGTCCATGCAAGTTGTCCTTTTCACGACACACACATCACTGACGTAATTCGTGATCCTCTACAATACCGGCATCCGAAAAGATACTGCCAGAGTAGTAGAACACGGCATTGATGCCCGATAGCTGCTGCGCACACGACAGCATGATACCACCCAGAAGCTGCATACGGTAGCGAGAAGCAAACATTGACTCTTGTGTAGATGTTGCATCGGTCGGGCCTTCCTCAACATACTCCGGCTTCTTGCTCACCTCCAGCCACGACAGAGCCGTCTGTACGTGCTCTTCGCCGTACAGACGAGAGATTACCTGCTTCGCTTCTTCCTTTCGGCCCTGGGTCAGCAACCACGCTGGGCTTTCCACGCACAATGATGGTGCCAACAGCAGATAGATGGCAGCAAGCACAACAGGGAACGCAGCGAGATAACGCCAGCCAGAGCTCGTGTTGGCGAAGAAGAAGCAGATAGCAGGGAACAAGATACCGATCGTAGTGAAAATCTGGAGGCCCAGACCCAGAGTGTTGCGCATATGCGGCGGTGACAGCTCGTTGATGTAGCCACCGATTGTGGCTGTGGCCGTACCCGATGAAATGCCGGCAATGAAACGACCCAGAGCAAAGAGCCAAATGTTCGACACAGATGCTTGCACGATACCACCCACAATCATGAAGATGCAATTCAGCATCAAAGTCTTCTTACGGCCGTACTTGTCGCTAAAGTAGCTGCACAACAGTGAGCCGACCATAGCACCAAAGATCCAGGCGTTCACAGCGAACGTCCACTCCATCTTCGAGTGACCAGGGAACATGAGGCACGTGTTTTCAGCCACGGGACGCGCATTGCACTCGCCCGTGTGGTTGTATTGTGACAGGTTCATCTGTGAGGTAGACCAACCACTCTGGAACGGCTGCAGCCATGATAGCACCGCACTGGTGTATAGGATGGCCTTGGGCTTGATGAGACGCGCAGCGGCCTTGTTGGCCTCGTCAAAGGCCGTGACGGGTTTGGGGGTAGAAACTCCGTAGTAATTGTCTGCTGCGTCTGCCATGTCTGCTTACGTGCTTGGTGGTAGTGGAGACTTGTTGAGAAGAACAGACCGTCTATTTCAAACATTAAGGATTGGTAAGATGTCTGGAGTGCTTCTACCAGGACTTCGTCATTCTTCGCCTCGCTGGCTCAATCTGCTGGCTCGAGACGTCGGGCGTCACGGGGGACACTCCGAAAAGGGCACGTGGAATCGGGTATCCAGCCCGAGGTGTAAACAGTGGCTCAATGATCGCAACAAGCGCCGGGCACCACACCGATCAGTCCCGATCGACCGCTGATGCACCTGGACGGGGCCGATCAATTCACGTTCTTGGCAAGTTCACTTCGTGGGACCGAGATTCGCGCTCGGCGATCGAATCGGCGGCTTGAAGGCTGACGTAGAATAGCAGGAACTATTGGGGAAAGAGGGAATGATAACCGCGGTCATCGATCCTCTCCCCCCGGGGGTAACAGGGTTGGTGCTCCCCTTACGGTTCGCACGCTGCGCTTGCCCCCCATAGCGCACGCAGCAGAGGGAAAACCTCCCCCCTCTTATCCTGGGCCTCCCGTTGGAGGGACTTCCCGCCCTGGTCGGAGGGGGCCGGTTGACCGGCTCTTTGAAGGTCTTCGTCTCTTGGCCGTTGTTGCTCGAAGGCGCGAATTGGGAAGTGTAGTGGAGACTTGTTGGACAAGTGTCCAAATGGAAAATGAGAAAAGCAAATGGCCACCGATACAAAAAGAGAGTTTTAAGCGAGCAGAGGCGACTGACCATTTAAGCATCGGCAAATCTGGAATCTGTAATCAAGGATGTGTTTGAAATACAGCACCCGATTGTCTCTTGTTTTGGCAGACATACGGTGCCGCACCGCTAGGTGCACGATGATCTTCTTGTCAACGTTTTACGCGATGTCTTGACTTCGAGATCCGGTGCACAAGTAGGCTACCGATGTCTGACCTTCGAGGTACGGTGCACCTGTCCACCGTACCTCAAAAAAAATTCAGACATCGCGTAAAACCTTGACATGTACGTCGTGCATTGGAGATTGACCGTACAACCTCTACTTCTAACTTCTATCAATACCCACAACTCTTGCTTTGCCAGTGGTTCACCACATTGGCGAGCGAAGAAAAATCGAAGCGCAGCGCGCTTTGCCTAGCACAATCAGGATACGTGAAGGTTGGTCAAAATACTTGAAGTATCATCGGATATTGCATGTTGATCAATATCTTCCGTGTAGATCAACGTTCTATGGTGTACATCGTGTATATGAGCACGTGTTGTATCGCAGAAACAGGTTTTTAAAACGCATGGCATTGTAGCAGTACATGCACAATTATCAACGCTGCATTACAACATATTGTCTGGTGCGACAAACGTTTGTATTGTTTGCATTAGTGTCGAGGTGATATGCGGTGATCTATGTGACAAGAGAAAAGCCGTGTCGCACTCAAGTGTATACCGAAGCTCAGAATATCGCAATGCCGTATGTTCGGCGGGTCGAGTGTGCTAACTTCAAGTTAGGCTATCTATCTGCACGAAAAAATCGACTTGATTACACGCTACTGTACACCATACGGCTCCCTAGACATGTACTTGTATACTAGTATCGCAAATGCATTTCGTGCAAGTGGCAATACTCTATGAACCTCCAAGCATTCGGTTCCTCCATGAAATAGGCGATGAACATAAAACAAGTGTCATACGTTCTTTCTGCTACCAAAATATGATACCACCCCCGTCTGAGCAGTCGGGTGAGGCGATCTAACTTCATAGACGTAAATCAAGTGACCGCGCGACGGCCTTCTTGGACGCGCCAAAGCCTGTGACGTGTTTGAGGAAGGCAGCCTCGCGTAATTGTCTACCATGTCATGCTTGCTTACTACCTCTTAGGTGAGACTTGTTTGATAATTATCCAAATGGAAAGCTAGGAATCCCTAGCGATGCAGCTTCGTCGCCGAAACAGAGCGAGCGCAAGCGAGTGGTACACGTACACGCTGCAGTCAGGGGTCATGATTAGAAGAGAGAATGTTAGGTGCCGCACTTGAAGCGAGGACTGTGTGAGTCTCACGGTCGCTTGATCCACGTGATCCAGAGTTGCCGGTTCGATTCGATGTTGCAAGAGATGTACCATTATAACGAGTTGCAATTGGATACTGGTGATATTCAAGCACCTTCAAATGTATATATTATACCAAGTAATCCTGGTCGGGTTGGGATAACGCCCTCCCGGAAGGCCTGAGCTAGCTTAATGCTAGCTGGGCCTTGGACGGATGCTTCGCGGTATCCGTCAGTTTAGGACGGGCCTCTCTCCCTCTACACACCTCTCTCTTGCCGCTCTCACCCCCAGCCGCTAGTCAAGCCGCCACGATGTACGCCGCCACGCCCGAAGTCCCGAAGTCCCGGCATCTCCGCTTAGGTACGCTCGCATATCCTTTGTTCCACGGTGCAAGCCACAAAAAACCCTCCCTGGGTAGGACCTGTTGGCAAGATAGACATCCAAGGATCCAAGCAAGAAACCTACCGCTGGACACCGCTGTCGACTGGCCCCAGACCTGCACCTCCTTTGCCGGTGTGCAAAGGATCGTGCTGTAAGAGTGAAGTGAAGTAGTGGTGCACTTGTGCACGTAGAGGTAGAAGTAAAAGTGATATATATTAAGCATTAACTTTCCTCGTTCGTTAATACCTACACATGCATGCGAAACCGACTGCAACTATACCATCTATAGTTCACGTCTATCCCGCTCCGTCCCATCTGTTACGACATCGACAAGACGATGTGGTAATCTCGTCGCCTCGTCCCATATGTCGCAACTTCCTGATGGTCCGACGTGGCGATATCGTCGCCTCGTCCCATCTGTCAGCACGTCAAGTCTGTTTAGTCAATCAGGTACGGTTGTTACTTACCGCGTGACAGGGTATTGCCCTTGACCTTCACGACCTGTCAACAACAATAGCTTCTAACACTCCTCCTCAACCGTATCCTGAGGGTTCTTCAACTTGAACATCGCACGTAGGTCCTTCATCCTTGGTGCTGCCAGCGCTTTAGTTAGGAGATCAGCAATCATCTCTTCTGACTTGATGAAGCGTGGCTCAACCTCGTTTGCTTGTGCGTAGTGGCAGATGAACTTGAATCGGACGTCCACATGCTTTGCACTTGATGAGCTCTTCTCGGTCTTCAAAAAGTTGATTGCAGCTTGATTATCCATCCACATCGGCATCGGCTTGACTATCTTCATGTTCAAGTCACCAAACAGTTCCTTTAAACCCAACAGCTCGCGACCAGCGTGGGATGCCGCGATGAACTCAGCTTCCATGGTGCTCAGCGACACACCCGTCTGCTTCTTGCACGCCCATGATACGACAGCACCATCCATCGTGAGTACGTATCCCGTGACTGACTTGCGGTCCGACTTGTCCGCGGCAAAGTCTGCATCACTCCAGCTTTCAATCTTAATTGGGTCGTCCATACCGCGTGAGCTGTTGATGCACAACTTTAAACTCTTGGTTTCCTTCAGGCATCTTGCGACTCGTTTCGCCGTTCTCCAATCCTTGGTTGTCGGCTTGTGAGTCTGTCGAGTCGCTCGGTGTACTGCGAAACAAATGTCTGGTCGAGTGCAACGCGCGATCCAGAGTAAATTTCCGACGAGTGATTGGAAGGCCTTGACAATTTCATCTCCAGCTTTGGCGGTCGACTTTAGGGACTCCGAGTTCGTATCCTCGACGTCATTTCATTCGTCTCCTATTGGAGATCGAACCCCGTTAGCTGTAGCTAGTCCATGTTCCTTTAGCAGTGAGTCGATGGTTACTTCTTGATTTAACACGTAGCCTTCGTTTTCGTCCAGCTTGACCCTAAGTCCGAGAAACTTGTTCACCATCCCGAGGTCCTTGATCTCTAGAGACGTCATGTCCTTGAAAAATTGTCCGACGAGATCATTCGATGTTCCAGTCACCAGCAAATCGTCGACGTAAACTCCGACGACCGTTACATCTATGCCGGTTCGTTTGACGTATAGACACATGTCCGTCGTGCATTGTCTGAAATTCAACTCAGTTAATTTGGAGTGCAGTAGCTTGCTCCATAATCTTCCAGCTTGTTTTAATCCGTACAAGGATTTCTTAAGCAACAGCGCGAGTTGCTATGTCCCGTCCACTCCATGATGGGCCAAGGTGTCATCATCGACTTGCATACCGCTTGGTATTTTCATGTAGATGTCGAGGTCCTTTTCTTGATTGGCCTTGACGTATGCGTTTGGCACATCGCCGTGCCGAGCCGGTACGTTCCATCTGCGTGAGAGGACCAGAATCACCTTGACTGTTCCAAGTTCCATAACCGCCGCAAAAGTCAAGGTGTAGTCGACTCCAAACAACTGCTCGTTTCCGCATGCAACAAGTCTGGCCTTGTAGCGTTCGACTTTCCCATCGGCGTCGGTCTTTGTCTTGAAGACCCATTTGTTGTGCAGTATGTGGGCGTTGTCAGGTGGAACAACAACCGCCCACACACCGTTTTCCTCCAATGCATGCAGCTCGTCCTTGATGGCCACAGCCCATTTGTCCTTGCTGTCGCTCCGTACGGCCTCGCCATAGTTCCTTAGGTCTCGAACAACGTTGACCATGCCGACATTCTTGTGTATGTCTATGACATCACTTGATGTGTCTCCGTCAGCGCGACGTGACCGGGTCATGTGTGGATCACGTTTCCATTCCATGATTTTGCCCTTGATTTGCTCGAGCCACCTTGGTCACCGAGCTCCTCCTGACCTTCGGTACCATGTAACGTTTTGGTCACGTCGTCTCTTGTATGTTATCCAACATCTCAACATTTTTCACATGTTGACTCACCATTCCATCGGTATGAAAACCCGATATCCTTTCATTTCATCACTCTTGCCGATGATGATACCTTGTTTTCCCCGAGGACCCAACGACTTGTTTGTAGTCGTTCGGTGCACGGTGCATGGAGATCCGAAAACCACAATGTCACTTAAGACGGGTGTTTTCTTGGTTAACATCTCAATAGGTGA